CCCTGCCAGCCCCTTCTTTCCCCTCCAGTCCGGCTGCCCTGCGCTCAGCCCAGGGAGGCTGCGTCTAGCTCCAGCTGTGCTGGATCAAGCTTCCCAGGCTGAGCACAGGACCACAGATGCCCATCTGATGGACTGTATATGACTAGCAATCTCAGACTACAACCCAGACTTCAAGACACAGGCAGATATTGTTCAGTCACAGGTGTCACACTGAGACTTTGTTATTGGAAGAAAAAATATATAATTATCAATACTTGATTTTAGATTTACAAAATGGAAGAGAACAAAATGTATAATTGTAAATCCTTCATTTGACATTTAAATAGCATGAATTAAAAACAGAGCATTTATTTCATAACTATAAACATGTGATTTTAATTTTATATATTGCATAATTTAAAAATAAACTGTTTAACAGAGTGGATAAGGGCTGGGGATAGCAAGTGATGGACAGGAGAATAGAGAGGGCAGGGCTTCAAAGAAGGGGCGGGGCGGGGCAGTAGATCTTTGCCTGTTCTGAGACTTAAAAAGTGATCTTGGGTGTAAAAAGGTTGGAGACCACTGCTCTAAGCTGTGCAGTACTATGGCCCAGCAGCTACTTAATTAACCTCTTCCAGCCAGGAGCACAGTGCTCTGCGCATGGAGCTGCCTAGCTGGGGACAGGCACTTCTCCCTCAGAGACAGCAGCTGTTCCCTGCTGAAGACAGAGCAGTGAGTCTCTCTCAGCAGGTAGATGTCGGTTACTCTGAGCAAAGTCGCCTCCCTGAGAGCTGGGCAAGCAAGCGCTGGTGGTCCCGCTCATAGGGAGGCTTCGCTGCAGGCTCTGCAGTGTAAATTAAGCTTTATGCTGCAAAGCCTCCAACACGGGTAACCATGTAACCGCTGAGATTTTCAACAGTTACCCTATTACAAGACTTTTAGCATTCCTAATCCAAATCTTTAGTGTAAAAAGGAGATTGTACCAGAGTGTGGGATCATTACAAGTACTAATATCACAGTATTAAAAGTAAAAGGTATTCCAATGTAAGAATTCCTATCCTTCATATAAGATGTTAAGCTGAGCAGCTATCCATCACTAGGCAACCTGGACATCACATCTATCCATGGTACATTTTAATAGGTGTAAATGATAAACCTAATGAGCAGAATTCTTTGTGACTAATCCATTTATCTACAGT